TTCTAGGTCTCTTAGCTTGGGTTTAGCATAAAAATGGTCCTTCAAATATCCCCAGAGAAAAAGTATGGGCTGTCAAATCTGATGAATAGGGAGGCCCTCACAATGTCTTATACGAGCCCCCTTATGCAGAGAGGTCAGACGTTCAAGAAACTGCATTGGTTGGGATTTTATTGTAGCCTTCAATCGTCTCCACTCAACCAGAGCGCACTCACACAGGTACTAGAGAGCACCCAATCGCCTTTTTATTTCACTTCCCCAGTATATTGTGCTCTCAGCACAATTAGGTAGAGGGGCTCAATCAATTTGAGACCACTGTGTTTTCATAAGGTAATCATTTGATCTCCAGGCTAGCCTGCGTAAGTCTGGAAGGTATATGTAACTCCTGATTCATTTGCCAATAATTGACCTGATTCTCTGTGTTTGTTCTGCCATCGTCATCCTCAAAAATCTTTCTCTTGGATATTTGAAGGAGTGTTTTAATGCTCATTCCAAGCAAATAGACCTAGAACAACTTGAGGGCAACATCCAAAGAGAAATCAAAAACATTCTACTGGAATTATCAAATGTGATGATGAATGTAGCAGTAAGGATACATGCTGTCATCGGACTTCGAGGTCACATTGAATATGTGGTGTAAAAGTTAAAGGGTTAAAGCCTCAAAAAAGGCAAGACTGACTGATAAAACTTTTATGTTTTGGCTACACGACCATACAAAAAATGTTTGAAAATATTGATTGGTTTTTCTTTGCTGTTGATATACTTTTGGGTACATTTTTTGAGACACTCTGTATACGTGCTTATAAAATAGATATGAATCATAGCGTAAAATATGCTAAATAAATCTCATTGAAAATTACATTGGCTAACATATTCAGCAATCTCTATTTTTATATAACATTGTTAAATACAAATAATAGGTTTTAATGCAACTTCTGATAATATAAGTAGATAAGTATCAGATAGACATTTCAGAATGTTGAAACCATACGATGAACACTAACAAAGTATTTTCCCTTACAGGGTGTGCATTTTATTTTTTACAAGCCATATCTACATCAAACATAAAAATACATTGTCACGAGAAAAATAAGCTAATGTGCTCAAATTGTTAATGTATTTCTATATGCCTTTGCAATAATAACAGAAGCTTTGTGACGAGTATTCTTGATCTTGCATGTACATGTAATAGGTTTACACGGATCTTAAATGCTTTACTTTACTTAACATTCGAATCATTAATATGGTCGTAGCCTGCAGGCATACATGGCATATCATAAGCGAGGCAACTCACCAATCGGACACATCTTGCCTAGCTATGTGTGAATGAACAACTACGCATATAAAGTGAATGTGTTGCGTCAAGGCTTGGCGTTGCGGATTTTAGATACGTTGAGCTAAAAATGTTGGTACAAAACATCTCTGTTGACTATTTGATATTTGATTGTAATTTTTGCCGCGCCTATTTCTTTAAAATTCTATCATACATTATACAGCTTTATTGCTATTTACAAAATAATATATACATAATCAAACTTCTTGCTTGTGCTAAAATTGTCAGCAAATACAAATATATACCATCTGACATGATAATTTTATGTTGGATTATTCTCAAAAACCTGAGGTCATTTACATGAATCTGGAAACTTGATAAATATATATTCAGAATACATCGGTAAGAAACTTCGAGATAAAAATATCGCTCGATGTAAATCTTAATAATAATGAAACTCTTAAAGTAAATTATAGAATAAACTGTTAAATTATATACATGTACATAATCGTCATTGAGTTCTTCAATTCCTCGATTTTATATTACATTTTAAATGGAAAGAGGACACTAAGTGTTTCATGAAGGTGAGCAATACATCTTGGGTTTGTATCTCATATTTTTAGGCTGTATTTACTTCAAAGATTCTTTGCAAGATGAGATAGTTCTTTACATTTTTACATTGATTTGTTAACAGGATTACTATAAGAGATGATACGGCCATCAACACAAGCTCTGAGATTGAACCCAGGACATTTTGCTTTTGATACCAGTGATTTTGTAACTACACAACTACGCCTTCTCACCAACCATAATGAACTATATAATTTTATTCTGACGCTGGCAATTTTGGTTTTATATAATATAAATCCTTATCCATAAAAGTGCATTCTGACTGTAGCAGCTTCGATTTGATAAGACATACCCATCCATATTTACATATATTAAATCATTATCTATAAATAATGATATTCTGACTGTGGCAGCTTCATTAGAAATTATCTCATGGACATTATATAAAATTATTTCCTTTTTATAAAAAACAATAACAGACTGTATAGCAGCTTCGTTTCCATAAGGAAATAATAGAGCTTTTTCATTATAAAATTCCATCCTGGATTTGATAAAAATAATGTCCAAAGCTCTATAGATATTTACATATTTATGCAATTGTAATGTTAAACATTACGTTACGTTCTGACTGCGACAGCCTAAGATGAATGCTTATCCCATATTCATATAAAAGTATCTACATAAAAGTTACATCGTGTTTAACAATTTCCTTATAAAAATAGTAACAGACTGTAGCAGCTTCGTTTCCATGAGAAAATAATAAAGCTTTTCAATTATAAAATTACATTTAAGTTTGAGTGTCGCTTTGACAAAAATAATGTCCAAAGTACTATCCATATTTACACATTTACAATGCAATGTAATTTTTAACATTAAGTTATGTTCTGACATATTTATATAAAAGTATCTACATTTAGCAGGATGGATTTGAAAGGAAATGAATCCTTATCAATTTACATATATACAATAATGTGCTTCATAAAACACTTTTGACAGTTCTGATTTTATAAAAATAATTGAAGATTGTGGCAGTTATGATTCAATAAGCATTACATGCTTAAGTTCCATGTACACATGCGATGCACGACACAAAGATTACATTACAGTTTGAGTTGCGATTTCATTAAAATAATACCTATCAAAGGATATCAAAGTTTATATGTTTATATAATGTAACATAAAATTACATTCTGACTGTGACAGCTTTGATGTAATAAGAAATAATACTCATTTATATCTTTATGCAACAGCACTACAAAGCATTACATTTTGCCTTACAATTTTGGTTTTTAATTTATATTGCATCCATAGAACTTCAATATGAATATTATATGTGATGCTTTTTGCAGCAGAATTTCATGAATGTGACTTACGTCCAAAATGTAAATTGATTTGGTTTGAAATGGTTTCCCATTCTGACTGTGGCAGTTTTTGTAAATTGACACTGTTTAATAAATACTAATAATATACATAATTCATCCATATGTATACAGAGTATGCCATCATTCTGCTAAATATGCACTCACATAGAGAGCACACAATCATCCCATACACTCACGTACATGGTACGCATTCATCATGCTTTATATGCAATTACAGAGAAAGTACATCATCTCCCTGCACGCAAATAATGATTAAGCCATCATTCTGATAAGCCACCCACATACAGAGTACTCATTCACCATGCTTTATATGTGATTACAGAGAAAGTACATCATCACCCTGCACGCAAATAAAGATTAAGCTAGCCATCATTCTGATAAGCCACCCACATACAGAGTACGCTTCACCATGTTTTATATGTGATTACAGAGAAAGTACATCATCACCCTGCACGCAAATAATGATTAAGCCATCATTCTGATAAGCCACCCACATACAGAGTACTCATTCACCATGCTTTATATGTGATTACAGAGAAAGTACATCATCACCCTGCACGCAAATAAAGATTAAGCCATCATTCTGATAAGCCACCCACATACAGAGTACTCATTCACCATGCTTTATATGTGATTACAGAGAAAGTACATCATCACCCTGCACGCAAATAAAGATTAAGCTAGCCATCATTCTGATAAGCCACCCACATACAGAGTACGCTTCACCATGTTTTATATGTGATTACAGAGAAAGTACATCATCACCCTGCACGCAAATAATGATTAAGCCATCATTCTGATAAGCCACCCACATACAGAGTACTCATTCACCATGCTTTATATGTGATTACAGAGAAAGTACATCATCACCCTGCACGCAAATAAAGATTAAGCCATCATTCTGATAAGCCACCCACATACAGAGTACGCTTCACCATGTTTTATATGCAATTACACAGAGAGTACTCAATCATTCTGATAACCATACACTCACACATAGAGTATGCGTTCATTATGCTTCATATGCAACCACATGGAGAACATGGAATCACTATGCTAAATAAGTACTCACATATAGCTTGTATTCGCGAATGCAAATAGCGGCTATCGGCTACCGGGTTGATTGCAATTAGATGCCAAACTCATTTAAATATGAATGATGCCTGTCGTGCATCCCGTAACTTTCGCCCCAAAAGCAATAGCTGACCTAAATAACCTTAATCTGGTATTAAAGCAGCAACTTATGCCTGGGTCACATCTGCTCCGATTCATCGGCCAGCGCCCGGCCGATTGAGTATTCTGGTCAAACCTGTATACAATTTTGAACAAAATACTCAATAGGGCGGGCGCCGGCCGATGAATCGGAACAAATGTGACCCAGACATAACACCGACAATCGAGGTGTTCGGAATTGTAAATAGCGAAAGTACATCTTGCATATGCGCATAAACCACGGGGGTAAAGCAGACCCGATGATGCAATGAGTTTGCTCGGCGGTATCATGACTGTGTAACGGGTCTTAATGTATAAGTGTGCTCGGCGGTACATGTGGGTTCAAACAACGCGGATCCTCAAAGCATGTGCTCATGGTATATTCGTGTTTTAACACCCGTGTAAACGCAAAACACATTCAAAGTATGTTCGATCATGTGTCATGGAATAAAAAGTGACGTGATCACTGTTTGTCGACAAACGGGTTGCTCTTAAATTACAAGTTCAAATTGACGGGTTAATTCGTGGTAAATTGATAGGTTAATCCGCTAGCCGATAGCCCTTAGTTGCATTCGCGAATACAAGCTAAGATAACGTATGCCATCAATAACATAGATATCATAAATGATAGATATTAAAAATATCAATCAAAAATTACACAATCCTCTTCAAAATATAAAAGCTCGGCAAAATACACATGTATGAAGGTATTATAAGCAAGTGTACATGTAGTAATATTAACAAGTTGATATTGTGCTAATGCTAATAACAAACACTAATATGCACCCTACTCTTAACATCAACCATGTATAATAAAAACCGTCGCGTTACAATTTTTCTTTAAGGGACGACAAAGAGAAGAGACTAGTTGAGAGTACTTATTTAAAAATGACCCTATTTTACTCATATTATCTCATTAACATAGTAATGAAAAATGGAATGAATTTTGAAAAAATCCTTTCATGCAAGGAAGTACACACTGTACTTCCTTGCTTCTACTTTACGTACTTAAGTATACGTTGAACACCATTTATATAGTTTTCTGTATTGTAGCTGTTCAAGTCAGCCGTGGTCTGCCTAAATGGATTCTATGAGATTAACGCTATAGTCTGCATTGTATCGCTCAATTCCTGTCAGATAGTTTCCTGATCCTATGGCAGACGATTGAGACTCTTCCCTTAAAAGATCATACACCTGATAAAAAGGAAAAAGTACAATATTATCATTTAATGTCCAATATCATATCAAAACATGCTATTAGTGTAATTGCTTGTTATACCCATTTGGCTTGCTTATTAGTAATAATTATGTTATTTGTTTTTATTTGTCTGTTCCTTATTAATGGTTTATCGGTTGAAAGTTAGATGTTGATAAGGTACTTTCAAAAACATACTAAACAATGCAATTAGACAAACAGTGTATCTTATGCATATCTAGGGGTTAGGTATAGTAGAGTGAATGTTTGCTTATACCATGAGAAAGACCATGCTTATACTCACTTACACAAGGTCTCGTGATAATGCCTGGGTCACATTTGCTGCGATTCTTCGGCCGGCGCTCGGCCGATTGAGTATTTTGTTCAAAATTGAATAAATTTCTGAACAAAATACTCAATCGGCCAGGCGCCATAGTGAAAATCGGAGCAAATGTGACCAAGGCATAACCTGGTAAAGATTTGTTATACTCACACTAGGACTGGTAACTCTCCAACTCTGTTCTTCTGGCAAAATATAGCCGTCGTGCGTCTTGACGAAATGCTTGTTCTGGTGGCCTTTGCGGTACTTCTCTATAGCGTCTTCGTTCTTGTGGATGATCAATAGTTTTGACTCCTCATCCTGTAATATAAACATGCTCACACAATGCTACCAATATGTAAAACAAATGAGGTCTGTTTTTTGCACTAACGCTGTTAAACGTTCGCTTTTGATAACATTTCACACATTGTTTCCTTGTCAAAGTCTAAGTAAGGCACATCTGTATCATTGAAATATGAAATATTTTCTTGAAATGCATTTTTGATCTTTAATACCACCATCTCTGATTTAATCACCAAACTAGTCAGTAGTCTTTGTAATATGAAGCTACGTGAGACGATTAAGTCTCAATGCGAACTTGTATAAGCGTCTAGAAATTGTGTTGACGTCACGTCCTTCATAGTTATTTTTTAACATATTTTCCACAACGGACGTCGAGTTGGATTTGTCTGCGAAGAAAACAAAAGAGCTGCAAAGGGATGGACGCCAGAAAAATGTTCTGTTGTGGTATTAATTTAATTATCTAATTATCTAAGTCTAATTGTTCCTTATCAAGCGGTGTGTTACTCGTTATCCTATCTTCAATGATACGTCTACTTATTGACCAAAGAATAAGATGTGTCAGTCAACAACCAAGTAATAAATCTCTTAACTTAGTGAGTAGACTATGTAAAGACTTATCAGTGAATATAGATTAGAACCCCGGTATACTGAAGTAAAATTCTTCTATTCAGCAAAGAGCAGATCGTCATGTCCATGGAATTCGTAAAAAGATTGTCAAATGTTCAAACTGCATTCAATCTGTTCACAATTAATTTTAAGCCCGTTCGGTGGCACGTTATTCAAGAAGGTATTGATAACTTGTGGTTAGAGACTGTGTTGCATATTGCATCCCTATTTGGGCATTTCTTGAAGCTGTTGCCAAACACTCAACTTCCATTATCAATCGCTTAAAAAAGAAACTCACGATTGTCAAAAACACAAGGAAGTAAAATACTTACAGATTGCTTGATTGGAGGATTCCTCAGGAACCAACTGAAGGGTGCCAGGCAGAAGTTAATGAACGCCACACAAATTAACAGACTACAAATATAAGAGGTTTCTCGATTTAGGGACCAATTCATGTCAATAATGTTTTCATTTTGATTCCGTATAAAAATGCATAGTCATATAATAAGTACAAATATTCTTATCATTTACAACTATCTGTATTAATTATTATTCAATTTAAAACTCGAGCTAATAACTAAAGCTGATTTTTCTAAAGGATTATGTTTAAGAAATTTGTTCTCACGTACTTGGGATATCCAAAGGCAAATATGAAAGGACCGCCAGCCAATGGTCCTAAAATGATAACAATATAAATCATTGAAATATTACATTATTTTACAATTGTTTGGAATGATGAAGTAGGTATGTTAAACTGTTTGAGTACAATGAAACTAATATTCGAAATATTCTTATGTACCGGTAACACAAATATCAATACACATATTAATTAATTGATTAAACGCCAATCAACAGTATTTTTGATTGTTTTCAATTACATTAATATTTACTGCAAAACAGAATTTCGTAAAATCCTCCAAAACTATGAACGATCGATGAACTATACGGTAGGGCTAAAGGGGGCGTAGTTTGACCTTATCGAGCTTATCTCAACTGTTCAACAAAGTGCACATATTCGTAATTTCTTGCATAATTACATCCAATTTTACCTATGAAAAAGGCAAGACACACGGCCATGTCAGATATGGCGTATACGTTCCCGTACACTGAAGAATGTCTTCTATCCACTATCAGGGCAAACACCGGTTGCATTGATGTGCTCACCATTCCTGAAATAAATACATTTTACAAATCAGTCAACGTGACAAGGGGACTTGAAATAAGGTTATGAGTTATTTCGTTCACGTACCATTCCAAGTCTTTTCGGAAAGATTCAATCATTTACAATTTGAGACAAAAAATATTTACCTAATGCCAATCCAAGGAATATGGTCACTATAAGCATACTGACAAACGTCACGCTAAACGCCAACTGCAAAGTAATAAATGACCTATATTAATACAATATCCAATAGACCTTATTCTGATATTCAAATAATGTGGTCTCGTGATTTTAACAGTTCTACTCTTCTACCCCGACATCGCCCCCAACTTACCCCTAACATGGCCCCAGTACTAATGATCATCCCAAGTATGGCGGTTATATATCTGAAAATAGAAAAATACAATGTTTGAAAATAAATATACATGTATACATGTTTATTCAAAAAATGATAGAGCGTTAGTATAGTTTAAATACTGTGACTGGGTGTTACTATATTTCATTTCGAAAACAATTTTGTGAAACCTTGTTATAAAAAAGTTCATGAAAAGATCGAAGATATGTCAGAGACATAGTTATACAGATATAGGAAATGTGGAAAATTAAAATAAAAAAACAATAAGAAGTTAACAAAGACAAATTAAATATATTTTAAATAGTCAACCCTTATCAAGAGTATCTCATTTACAAAGATTTTTTTTGACATTGTACTGTGTGTATGTATGTATATCTTTATTGCCCTTTATGAAAAGGAGATACATGTATACAGTGTACAATGAAAATAATGCTGATATAACATTAATGTTAAATGAACATAGAATAAAAATATATACAATATATAAAACACACTTTATACGACTACGTTAGATGAGTGCTAACCATCTTCCCCAAGGTCGATGTAAGCATCTCATCTAACGAACCACAGACGATATAAGATGCTACCGCTATCTCATCGTCCAATTACAACCCTCAATGAGATCATTTGTGCAGAGAGCATAATTGAAAAAGTAAAAAAGGTTAGGTTAAGAAAGGTTAAGTATGTACATACACTTTTATACATTATATAATACACTTATCTCATTAGTTGAGTGCAAACCATCTTCCCCAAGGTCGATGTAAGCATCTCATCCACTGAACCAAAGACGATATAAGATGCTACCGCTATCTCATCGTCCAATTACAACCCTTAATGAGATCATTAATTTTGTGCAGAGATCATAATTGAAAAAGTAAAAAAGGTTAAGTATGTACAAACATTTTATACATTATATAATACACTTATCTCATTAGTTGAGTGCAAACCATCTTCCCCAAGGTCGATGTAAGCATCTCATCCAATGAACCACAGACGATATAAGATGCTACCGCTACCTCATCGTCCAATTACAACCATTTGAGAGATCATTTGTTCAGAGATCACAATTGACAGTAGATATAGATTAAGTATGTACATAAAATATATAGATAGATATAAAATACTTGACGCATTAATCAACAGATTTTAACCCATGGTTTGCATTAAAACGCATCCGAAATTATATAAGTCAGTTATGAGTTGCATTGCAAGCACGAAGCACGGAGGTGGTATTGCTCTTGCACGATAAGTGAAACCCCTCTCAAAAAATCTAAAGACCGGGGATCATTTCTAAAGTTAATCCCTAAAATGTTGTTAATATTCATCTCTATACCAAACTTTTGGCAGTGCTCATTCAGTTTACGTCTAAACGGGGTATAACTATTTGCTGTGCACGTTAACATAAAATGGATGACATTTTCCTGTTGAAACGTATTACACATATAACATAATTTTGACTTGTTTTCTCCGCCTCGATATTTTGTTCATTACTCATTAAAATGTTTTGCATTGCATGTTGGCAATGTTTATGGATGAATTTGTGATAAAAATATGGAAAAGTGAAATAAAGATGCCACTTCAAATAACCAATGTAGCATACCGTTTTATCCATTTTGCTGTACGCGGGCAGATGATGCCGGCGACAAGGTATCCTATGGAGGTAGGGAGCACAACGACACCGAGTTGCCAGGTAGGAGGGTCGGTTAGATCAATCAGTTGTACGGGTAGGAACGCTAAGATAACTGACACATTGAGATTTACCAGGAACACATTTGCTGAAAAGAAATATCAATAAATGAGCCGTGTTTAATCTACAGTTATATTCGGTACGATTGTACTGTATATCTAGTTAACCCGATAAAAGTATTCTTACCATATCCAAATCTAAAAGGAGCGATACTTCTATGCATCACTTTTAACCACACTTATGCCTTGGTCACATTTGCTCCGATTCATCGGCCGGAACCGTGCCGATTGAGTATTTTGTTCAGAATTGTATACAGTTTTGATCAGAATAGTCAATCGTCCGTGCGCCGGACGATGCATCGGAGCAAATGTTACCCAGGCATTAGGTAGCAATACACAATACACTGAAAATAAATTATTTCAAAGAAAAGTCAGCTATAACAAAGAGGAGTGTATTATTTTCCTATTGTTTTTAAAGAATGTACACTTGCCAATATCCAAAACCAGTGTGACACAAAGGATGATTGACTGCCACATGCAGCGCAATTAAGCTGAACTTATAATAACTCATCCACAGTAACTTTGTTACATGCAGTGTAATTAAGTAGAATTAAGTATATCCTATTCACTATTTCAATAGTTGAACAGTTAACACAAAAGAAATCAAACGTTAATGCCCCGTTACATCATACTTGTTTCCCAGTTTGATTTTCAAAACATCATACCTTGGAAATCCAAGATGCCGTTACATGCTGTGCTTTGAAGCTGAACTTATTAAGCCCACTAGCTTCTCAATACATTTATCTTATAGTCATAAATTTTTCTAATACCCAAAACTCATTGTTTATCCCTAACAGAAAAAGTTATGTACAAAAAGAATGCATGACAAATACTGACCCCAAAAGGCTTATAAAAGTGTAACACCAAGTCTAAAAAAAGTGTAATAAATGAAATCTCTAATATAGTATTTAGAGTATAGAAGGTACAGGGCGACACAAAAAATGCCACCAACCTTATGTTGCATAACTTGTTTGTCTATGAACATATAGACTTGTCCTTTGGCACATTTAAAGCGAAAATTAGGGCACCTTGATAATTTGGGCTTTTACAGGAAACACTTTCTTATAATTAGTAGAATTGGCAGATACGTGCGCAACGCTCACATGTTGAATACAACTCCCAGGCTCCAATTTTGCACGAGAGGTTCAATCAAACGGTTGTAATTTATAATTAAGGAATAAATAATGATAGGCCATTCAATATGGTGAAATTCAGCACGAGTTGGACAGAATGTTGTACAAAGCACGAACCGAAGGTGAGTGCATTTGTACTAACATTCTGTCCAACGAGTGCTGAATTTCACCATATTGAATGGCCTATCATTATTTATTCCGATTCAAACATAAAAATTAGTAAAAGCCGTGTCTGTGGAACGGGCATGAAGGAAGAATACGCATGCTGTCAAGATTCTGAAGTCGGCCGGAAAAATTTTAGAATTTCTTTGGGCTGTTCTATTTTACTCCCCTTTTTAGATTTTATACGGTGTATGCAAACATGGGGTGTTGATAAAACAGGGAGTAAAAAAGAACAGCTATCCCCGGACAGAGCCCCAGATGTGCAGCTGAGATGTGACGTCACTCAAAACAATGCAAATTGCAGATTGAATAGAGCATGGTCGTGCATCTATGGAGAATTAGAGAACGTTCTATATTGGCTATGCTGCATTCTGATTGGTTGAGAAATTCGAATAGAGCACGGTCATGTTTGAATTGTTCATAAAGAACAGCATTTATCAAAGACATACACGTTTGTAGTTGGCAATGCTTACTTTGGCTATATTTATCTTTAACGTATGTATTTGACGGGGAGACAGACTGATTACTTTGTTCCATGTGAACTGGCATTCAAACTTAATCAACCCCTTTCACCTTTGCTTCAATACAGTTGAATACCAAATAGGTTGAAGCATTGGCACATTCTCACATGTATAACCCTTGTGATTTATGTGCAGTCAATACACAAGTAATGAATAAAACCTGTACAATTGAATGACTGACAGATCAAAATTTCATCAATTTAAAAATATTTTGTCATTGAAGATAATCAAAGGGAGAGATACGTGTATAATTTAAGAAAGTAAAATGTCTATACCTGCAACTATGAGAATATAAGGGTCGCTTAACAGTTTACAAATAGACTTCAACTCGTGAGATTCGGCTCTCTCCTCTTCCGTTTTGAGATTTATAAGTTGTATAGCTTAAATAAAAAAAAAAAAACATAATGCATGTTTATAAATGATGAGACAGCGTTGGATATGTTGTTTCATTTATTAGAATATCGTTTTTTAAATTTTTTTCATCTTTTGCGTTTCAGCATTTTCTTATATGTATATAGTGTATCTTTTGAAAGGTTAATGGTAGTAACTAAATAAAATCCTACATATTGGATAACAAAAATCGATAAACCACAATGTGTTAATTTAAATTCCTTACCTATTGTGAAAAGGATTATGCCGGCCACTGCTAGAAACGGAACTGCTTGGCCAAAGTACTGATATAGAACACTTCCAAAGACAGGGCCCACTAAAATGTAAATATTAAAAATGATGCATCTCTGGTTTATCACTTTTATGTGTAGTATCGAAATATCACTGTTGAACGCTTTAGCATTCAATATCCAAAATCGAAATCGAAATATTGACCTCCTTACGAGAAACTATCATATGTCATGAAACGCACTTATTTGTTGAAGCAGATATGAAATGTCAACAATGATTTGGCTTACCTATGATACCAATAGAGAGGCCTCCAATAGCGATGCCCATCATCTTGCCACGTTTAATGTCATCCGTAAATCTACTCGCCAGCAGACCCATTCCTAAGTTGAAAAGTGACCAAAATCAAAAACTGAAGAATATCTTGTTTTGAAGATTGTCATTAATATCCAAAACCACATACTAATTCTACATATTCCTAGCTCACACATAGTATTTTTGCTACAGGGTGATAAAGCATTCTTGTTTACAATCATGTGGGTACAGAGTGAGCATAAATACCTGTTACTGCAGATAGGGATGAGGACGCACCCTGGATCAGCCTTGTAGCAAACAGCATGGCATAAGATTTGCTGAATGCAAAAGCTAGAATTACAAAGATATTGTTGAAATGGTTGAAAAGTTTGGTTGTGTTATGGTTGTGTCTGATGGTATGTGGCTATGGGTTGTCAGGGCCGTGGCCAGCGGAGGAGCTGGGGGAGCGGAAGCTACCCCTTGTCAGAAATTCTTTCAAGATCATGCAGTTTTTCACCATTCCGAGCACTTCTTCCATGAATGGGTAAACCCCCCCTTTGGCAAAAGCTCCTTTTCGGTAAATCCTGGCAACGGGCAAGTTTGTTGATTTAGAAATGAGTTTATGTGTCAATTTTGAGGTGTTTGATTGTGTTTTGCTATTGAGGTGTCAGCGTTGGTATCGTATTCTTCTAATGCACCGGTGTTATCATAATTGGTTAATTGAGTGGTGTGATTGTTTTTTCCAGTTGTTTGATCGTCCAGTGGCGCTTTGTGCCAGTAATTGTATAATTACTATAGTAAGATCAGGTGTTATCATAAGTAGGTGTTAAGGATATTGTATTTTTACAAAATTAGTTGACTCTGGGTAGACTACATACCTATGGGTATAATGTGTTTTTGCACATTATTAGCATATAGTGCTCTATATTGTTTGAAATGTGATATCCGGTGTATTAGGCACAGGTATAAGAATTAATTAATTAATCACCGTGGAACATTACAATGTGACACAATTATATTACTAGACTGCTCACTCAATCATCGAGCGTCTCAATAGCATATATAGGTATAACAGATAAAAGATATAGTCAAATGCAGCAGTTATCAAAAAGAAAAGGTTTTAAAGTGATATGGCTAAATGGATACTTTAGAATTTTTATGTCTATACTTGGCAACCAGGTATGAAATTATAGAGAAAAGGCGTTAGGCTTGACCTGTTGACGAAATGTCACAAATTGCAAAAAGGTCAACAAAAAGGCCTGTTTACAAAATTCCGAGATTATTTTCAGAGATAAGTTTTATTTTTTATAGATTTATTTTACTCATCGTGGCTCTTTTTCAAAAGATCAACTCTTTGAGACTATTTCTGCTCGAGTTCTAATGACAACTACATACCCCACATCAAATGGGAAAGACTGCAAACTCAATTTGTACCACATTCAATATTTAATATATACAAACGAAATTAACCAAAATAATCATAGGTAAAACAAAACAATAAAAAGTGAAACGCACCAAAAAACCAAATGAAATTAACCGAAATAATCATCGGTAAAAAGTCCACTTTAACATAACTACTTGCCATTTTCTTCATTTTGCGCAATATTACACGATCCTGTCATTGTAAACATTTTAAAGGTTGGTCGACGTTGCCGATTACATGTTTCTAAACAAGGCATTAACATGACAAAATACCACCACCTTGTAAGTTGTGCAAATTGTTACAGACTCCGCATATAGTTACAGACGCCGAACGCCGAACACCAACCACCGAACACCAACCGCCAAACAACGTCCAGAAATAATTGGAGCCTATAAATTATGTCACTACTTGTGATTGTGATATAAAGAAACAAATATTCCATTTGAATAACTTACCTATTGTTGAGACCATCAGAAGAAAATTGCCTATCACCATAGGACGTCTGTATCGGAATCTAAAATGATGAAGTGGAATACTTTGCTCGTATTGGGTTTAAAACACCAGATTCAATGAATCATTTCATAATATGTCTAAGATTTAATTGACTTTAATCGTGTTGACTTGGGATTGAGTCGACTAAGGATTAAATTGACTTCAGTCGGGTTGACTTGACTAAGGATTAAATTTAGTTTAAAGTTGTGTAAATGATACACACGGTGAGGCATATGATAACACAATATTTTAATTACCTCGTGACAATGATTCCAACAAATGGATTGCATATAAACTGTGCAAGTCCCTTTGATGCAACAAGGTAACCATAGCGTCCATCTGCATTTATTTCCTTGGAGGCTGATCCAGTGGTACTGTTCGTCGTTATACCGTCTATTTTCCTGAGGATGTCCGGGAGGATGGGGTCTAAAATATTAGATATCATAGTCATACATGGGGTCACCTCTCAGTGTTAGAAATCATGGGCTTTCTAGTTGAAATCCCATGTAGAAATGAATGAATTTTCCGTGCAAATGAATATTATTCTCAGCGATACTGAAAAAATCCTTTTGCGTGAAAGTGTTACACTGTAAATAGCGTTTCAATCGTTTCAATTGTTTCAATCGTTTCAATCAATTCAATGGTTTCAATGCTTGCATCATTACCTACGTTTCAATCTTGCGTTATTTCAAGCATTTCAATCGTTTCAATCGGGCGAAACGAGCGAAAAGAAAAACGAGCATGTTCGTTTCTCGTTTCAAGCATTTCGCTGGGGCTTTTCAACCGTTTCAATCATTTCAATCGATGCGTCTTGAAAAATGAAGTTAGTGTTTCGCTGCTTGCGCCTGTTTCGCCGTTTCAAGCATTTCAATCAATTCACCTAATGTACTTTCACTTTCACTTTCGTTTCAATCAATTCAAGCAATTCGGCCTTTTCGCCGCCGTTTCAAGCATTTCGCCTGCCAGTGTATACACCCCTTTATACGTCCAGAATTCATTGCGTGTGGCATTGAATTGTAGATGATTTATTCCACTCATGCATTGTTTCCTAGATTTTGCATTGATGCTGCCGCACACATGCACAGGTGTTGAAACAACCCATTGGTGAAATAAATAATCCACAATGCACTGGACCCTGGGCTTCAATCATTTATTCAATCAGTTGGGGACTTCTTGTGTGCACAAGTACGCAACTATGTTTGCCAATACCTAATTTTACAAATATACAAAAATATATATCTTTTATTGACTCTTCAGTACCCTGCGTGCAGAGTCTAGTTAAACTACGACGAAGACGAAGCTCTCTTTTAAGAAGTGAAGTCAAACGAATGCAAAGGGTAACTCTTCAGATGTCATGACCTGACATATTACTCATAAAACGAGTATTGCAATCAGAGCTTCAAAACTGTAAAAACAGTGGCAAAATTTACTTGTATATCTAAGCGTTTGGGTCTTAATGTCAATGTGTGTTAATTAATAGCATTGTTGATTGCACCAGTAAACCTATTTACACGAGATCAACAATTACAAGAATTGAATATTTGGCATACGGTGAACAGTCCAATTTTTAATACCGGATCATCTTCGTAAGAACGATTAGACATCTGATCCAAAAGTTGGCATACGGTGAACAGTCCAATTTTTAATACCGGATCATCTTCGTAAGAACGATTAGACATCTGATCCAAAAGTTGGCATACGGTGAACAGTCCAATTTTTAATACCGGATCATCTTCGTAAGAACGATTAGACATCTGATCCAAAAGTTGGCATACGGTGAACAGTCCAATTTTTAATACCGGATCATCTTCGTAAGAACGATTAGACATCTGATCCAAAAGTTTCGACTGTGATCGATGGTATTAGCATGGTTTTTTTCTGGGGGGTTCTCTTGAAAGGCAATTATATAGCCACCACATGGTGTTTCGCTTTACTAGAGGACTGTACTAGAATAAGAGAATTGTGTTATTCAGATCTTGACATATATATCTCGATCTAAATAAAATTATAATTGATAAATGATTGAAAATGTAACTGATTATAATGAAATAACCGATTACGGAGGACACTTATAATCTTAATTAAATAATACTTTGATCCAAAGTTGTATAAAATCAATAGTAATACAGTCTTAGATAAAAACCAACTTTTCGGTTTTATGTTGTACTTAGGTGAATCGCCAATGCAATATTGAATATTACGATAATCCCTTTGATATAATAAACACGATATCTTAATGACCTAACTTCGAAATATTCATTTTATTCCATTGCATACCTGAGGCGGGAATGCACTACAAATATATTTCTTATTATGTTATGTCAATCATTCGTGTATCTTTTTTTATCCGTATTGTGTAAGTACGCAAATGCATGCAAATGGTCTGCATATAAGCCTACAATTTTATAACGTATTCCTGGGCCTCGGGCAAATACCCCTGACATTCGACTGCACGTACAAACGTAATGATATAAATACCATCCATTAAGATCTAAATATGCACACATCAAAGAACATTGGCATTAAAACAAACGATGACATTTAAACATCATTTTTGTGAGTCAATTAAGCTTAAAAAAGAAAACGATGCAATATTACATGGAAAAATACGATTCATAGCTTGACTGTAACATACCTACGAGCGTGAGGAGCATACTATCCGTAAGCAAAGACAAGAAAACCAATGTGACGATGATAAAATTAGAGTCCCTGAACCGATTGAAGCTTTCCCAGCAACTCTTGCAGCCCATCTTGATTCTGCAGTCCTATGTTACTCTTCGTATATATCCCGTGATATCCGTGTTTTTTCAACTTATGAATGTGCTTGCACCACTTCTGTTAGGTGTTGTAATCAAATACCGATATGATGTGCGTGATTTTTGTTTAAATACATTCCCCTGGGATACAACGTCCTGATGTCGTAACCGTTCACTTAATCATCCAGCACTTCATGTTTCCTCATCTAATATTTCTTAGCAATGACAACACTTCGGATCCAGTCGAGTAAATTGGTTCCCGTAGGCAATAGTGTCTTTAAGCATGCGTTTGCTGACCTCTGAACCCCGCGTGCATGTACACAAAAGTGCAGAGAAGTCGATATATAAGTACCCAGCTTAGCGTACAGGGTGATCCAGAATTAATGTCAAAAGTATTTTCAATATAATATTTCAATATTACTTGACTATCCATCTTGAAACTGTGTACAGATGATCCTCAAACATCACTGAGATAATATCTCAAAATAAAGCTTCTACTATTTGATTGGTTCATTCCATGGTTACTAGAGTAACCTGATTTGACGTCACCCGGTGCAAATTAGCAAAAGTAATAAAACTCTTCACGACTTGATAAACCTTAATAAATATCAATCATTTTTAATATATTTTTATTTGTTTAAGGTTGCATTTCGAATGCCAATTTAGCATCAGATATGAAGTCAAATACAATATTTTAGTTGATCATTTTATTTTCTGATAATGTGTTCAACCAAGCATCACTATAGCAGATATACGACTGGAACGGATGAACAGTTTTTCCTGGGATAATGCCCCAGCACACAAGGTCATTCATGATTTCAATAAGGTAGAGTGTTTAAAACTAACATTAATATTGTCTTTATTAAAATTTTCATTCCATTTTCTACTAAAATAAATAATTTGCCCCGGGTGACGTCACTTCAGGTTACCATAGTTACCATAAAATCAACCAATCAGACAGCAGAATCTTCATATTGGGGTATACACTCAATAATGTTTGGGGGCCATCCATACCAAGTTTCACAAAGACTGGTCTCGTAGTAATGAAATGGCAACATCTGGACCACCCTGTATTTAGTTATTTAGATAATGCGCTTATAGTAGGCCCGTGTTAGCTAATCGAGAGTAATTTCTATCAAGGTCATAAATGTACAGCAACTTTTTCTATAAATGACAATTTGAAGTACTTTTATGTTAGGATTTTGCCGAAATCGCGTGACTCACATATAGAACTTAAAGGAATATTTCTCTCTAGAATCGGATGATTGTAATATGGTATACCCTCAAGCAGAGAATGTCGTTCTAATCAAACAAGTTTAGAAGCTAAGTCAAACAACTGTGCGGGTAGGATTATGTAATACATTTACTTCTCCGTGGTCAGACCTTTTTACGAGCAGCCTTTCATTTTTGATGTATTTAAGGCATATCATGGGTGGAAGGATAAATGAATTATGGGACTCCACGAGTCATTTTTGAACATACGGTACTTCCTTTAATTGCAATTCTCAGTTTATCATTCTCCTTTAAATCAGTACGGTAATTTGCCGCCGCGCTTGATAATTTGTAAAACTTATGAAAGAAGGAATGATTGATGTTCAAATCATGTGAATATCATTAAAATGAGTAAGGTTATACGGGTCACTTTCATTGATAAGTTTATTAATGTAGTACAAAGTTGCATTGTACCCCTTTCGATACTTAAATAAGTACTCATTGGCAAATCAGTTTTATAACCAAAATAATTTGTAGAATCAGTTTTATAACCGAGATACAAATAAATACACAGATATAAAATACAAATATAGTTTGTGAATGAGGCGTGGGAAACCTTGGGCTTGGCTACATACTGTGAAATTTCAGACGTGAATTTAAAACGTGACCTGGGTCACTTGGTCTTAAATGAAGTTAGTGTCACCTGCGCTGTCACAATATATAGTAGATATATTGTTATAACTATGTATTCTAAACTTATACGTAAACTAGATATTTGAAATTATATCCCCCTTTTATTTAATTTAACAAGGTGTCGCATATCATGTTACCCTGCGTGCAGAGTCTAGTTAAACGAAGCTCTCTTTTAAGAAGTGAAGTCAAACGAATGCAAAGGGTAATATCATGTATACAACTGAACAGCAATACAAATGTAGATGATATTAAATTATAAATGTGGAAAGAAATGTTTACAAACTGCAAGGGCACTGTTCAGTTCGAACAGGTAAAATCTCCTTATATAAGACCCATTCAACCACAAGTATATGAACAACTTTACTTACACAACTTTAAGTGGCCTGATTTTGATGTTGCGATCACCTATTTAAGCCCATATAAAGTTCACTGGCATGTAGCGATTATAGCGGTCCTGTCTTGGCTTATTGAATTGTTACGAAGTTACGTATGCGGTGCGGAAGTTAGAGAGCAAATGACCATCATTTCAATGTAATAGTTTATGCAGGAAAATTGAGATTAGGCCATTGGAGTATTTGTTTCATGCATTTGTAAAACATTACCCACTCATAGGTCATACTTATCGTTAAACCAATAACTCAAATATATGCCCTTGAACACCGATCACCTGTTGAAATGAATACAGGCCGATTTCAACAAATGTAAAGGGCGATATATTTAAAATCGTATTCAAGCATGACCACGTCCCAACTTCTTTTGTTTTCTTTACAACTAAGCTATGACTGCAGTCTATTCAGTGTTGCGTATCGAACCTTGTTTATTATAAAAATAGTGCAACAACAAGCAGAATTCACACATTTACCTTATACTTATTCTCAACTGAAGACATTGAGTTTATCTCTTAGGTTTTACATTATAAATATCTTAACATGCAGAATACGAAAATGGAGGCTTAGGCCCAACTTTGTATGAATTTTATGAGAATAATCTGATTTTAGAGAAATGAAAAGAAAAATGTCCACACCCTACACAAAATATTTATGGTTCCCCGGGAATACGTATGTGCTGCTTGTATATTAGAATCGTATTCCAGTTACAGAAAGAAGTACATATCATGCTAAACTATATACAACAGTTATGCACTTGGAGGTTTTGGATACAGGGAATATCCCGAGGGATATATAATTCATCTTCCCTTGGTCCCTTCGGTCCCTCGGGAAGATATATTGTATATCCCTCGGGATATTCCCTGTATCCAAAACCTCCAATTGCATAACCCCTACATATTGGCCAAGGGATAATCCCAATATCCTGAACCGCGACTATAGGATAATATGTTTATCCCATACCAATCTTGGTCATCTGGTTCACATTGTTAAATCGTGGAAACATTTTAGAATATTCATGTCCAGTTTTGTTTTCTTGGCCGTGGGCGGATTTTCATCTTCTCTCAAATATTCCCATATTTATTTTCTCGAATTTTTATTGATTAAGTGGATGCTCTTTCCCCTTTTTTAACTATCAAACAGACCCTGATTGTCTGTGTTTTCTCCATTGCCGTTTACAGTCATTCCGCGAACGTTACAAATTATGAACAAACATGCAAGCGGCGATTATGACGTAGCGGGCAGATATACTATATCTGCCCGCTTGGAGCGGGACGTAAAGCTTTAGCCCATGGTTGCAAGGAGGATATAGATCGAATATCACATGATGATATATTTGATATGTGGATCAAGATATCATATTTTAGCAAACAATTTACAAACCATCGAATATCACTTTTAAACTATCGAATATCACATCTTAAATAGAGGATATCCTATGATTTATGAGTGATATGATTTTTATCCACGAATGGATATGATATCTGCACGAGTGAGCGTAGCGAGAGAGTGCAGATATCAACATCCATAAGTGGATTAAAATCATATCACGAGTAAATCATAGGATGTTCTTTATATTCCATAGTTAAAGTCATCATCAGAATCGTCGGGAATTAAGTGATTTAAAACGAATTTTCCAAACGATACGGCGATATTGACACTTGGCCTCGTTTTGAGTCTGAAGTAGCAAAAATCCATAAACCATGGCATACGGCGCCGTATGTCATGGCTAAAAGCCCCCCCCCCCTAAAACACCGTATGCTATGGTTAAGTGAAAATTTGCCAAAAATATCATATTTTACCACTGATTTCAAAAATACCGTTTTTATTTTGACATGTTATCCAATGGATATCATGCTAACTATGGAATAATTATAGGATATCCTATGATTTTGAGGAATATCATTTTTATCTACGAGGTGATATTGATATCTGCACGAGAGAGCGAAGCGAACGAGTGCATATATCAATATCACCGAGTTGATTAAAATGATATTCTGAAAAAAATCATAGGATGTTCTTATTATCCTACACTTACAAGGAGTGTACTGAATGTATAATATCATTGTAAAATGAATTTCATGCCAAATAGAGTCAATTTGGCGGGAAATCAATTAGCGGAGTATATCGTCACAATATCCTCCGTATATTGGGTTTTCCGGAGGATATTGTCACGATATCCTCCGCCCGGAGTATATCGTAACGATATCCTCCGGATATTCATTTTGCCAATAAATATCAAATTTATTTTTTCATGTTATTATACATTTAGTACACTAAGTGTAGGATAATATAGGAATATCCTATGGCTCTGAAAAAATATAACTTATATCCATGAGTGGATATTGATATCTTCGCCAGTGAGCGCAGCGAATGAGTGAAGATACTGATATCCATGAGTGGATATAAGTGATATTTTTGAAAAAACATAGGATTGTCCGTTTATCCCATTGGGAATTATTATCCAGCGAACATTGAATAGTCAGATAAATTGCAATGGAAATTCCATTTGGTCTGACATTTTGATTGCGATAATTCAACGAACGTCATATACGTGACGTAACAGAGTGGTTTGTATTTAATGCGAATGCCGTAAAAACAAGATCCGAAAAAATAAAAATATATAATAAATATATAAACAATCGTTTTGCTGAATTAATAAAAAAATGGAAAAAATCAAAACCATCGAATATCACTTTTGAAACCATCGAATATCACTTTTGAAACCATTGAATATCACCTTTCAAAAAGTGACATTCGATGGTTTCAAAAGTGATATTCGATGATTTGGGAATTGTTTGCTAAAATATGATCTTCATCCACGTATCAATTATATCTTCACGTGATATTCGATCTATATCCTTGTAACCATGGGATAAATAAGGGTTATGTACTGGGGGGTTTGGGATATGGGGTTTTTCCAGAGGGAGATATGCATATCTACCTGAGGGACCGTAGGGACAGAAAGTACATAACTGCTTTATCCTATACCAAGTAGAGTTTTCAGTAGTACAAGGTGTAAAAAATAAACAAATCATTCATATGCAAAGTCATTTTATTGCATTTCCACTTTTTTGGAAGCGGGAAGATACGCCCCGAAGCGGGAAGATATGCACCGAAGCGGGAGATATGACGGGAGATATGGAGGTTCTTGATATGGAAACCTCAAAATCAGGATACGGGATATATCTTACCAACTCATCTCCCTAAAACCCTACTTGGCATAGGATAAATCAAGATAATTTCTACTCGCATCTAGTCTATTCCACATATTTGGGAAAAGTGTACAGGAAAATCTCCATGTTCAATTGATGTATGATCAATATATACGAATCGAATGTATTCTCGTGTGCATTACAATATCCACATTGAAACATTTTTGGCCTGCAATGGACGTATAATAAATTAGAATATGAGGCCGTGTTATCATTCTAATGTAAAGTCATGGTATTTACTGTGGTATTGGGTTGCAAGCTAATATCAGATTCAATGCAAATTAATCATCTAATATCAGATGCGCGATCAGTCCAATAATCTAATTTCAGGTCATCAGTTCGATATCTAGCACTTGTTCTAACGACACGGTATTACTAGGCTATCATATTATAAATACACACACATATAAAACAATCAAACTGGTACACGATATAAGCACGACTGCTCTTTCAATTGAGTATAAATGTTGATAAACTTACCCGGAAGCCAAGACATACGCGTTTAGACGATGCTATTTTCAGTTCAGTGTAAGAGTAAATGCCCGGATATCGAGGCTTTTTCGTGTAAAGTTTTAACCAAGCATCTAAAATCGTGTTATATTGCGTGTAGAATTTATCGATATCAGGGCCGCTACATGCCAGTGTCTATTTATATGATAAATTCTAAGTTGTCCTTATTCGGCATTTTACGTTCAACAGGTTGCCTGAATGCTATTTATTACTGATGATTTTTGAGGTATACCCATGTATATTTACGACATCATGCCTTGCACTGGGGATTAAGTGGAAACTAAGCCATGCCTTCGTTTCAACATGGCGGACTTCCGGAAGCAAAATTTAGTTAGATCCTTTATTTGCTAGTTTAAATCGCTAATTATCCTCCGAATTTTAACTAAATACTTCGTATACAATATACCCACAGCGATTGAAATTAAAGATGTAGAATGATATTATGTTTGGTTGCGATTTGAAATTAATGAAAATCAATGAAATATCATCGTAAAAAGTTCCGAATCTCTGTATAAATAAAGCGATGTTCCTGTTATTATTAGATTTACTATAACTGTAGATCAATAGAGCAAAAATGCAGAATTATTAATATCAATTTCGTTTGTGAGCAAATTTGAAGGGATGATTACGATGTCATCTTTCAATATCCTAAAACAAATATCAATTTAAGTTTGATTGAAGCAAAATTGAAGGGTCGATCACAACGCCATCTTTCAATAGACTATAAATGAAATGCAACATTTCAATAAAGGATTTAAGCCCAGGACTCATTGCATTGTTATTATTCTACGAACATAGATGGTGTTTGTAGCAAAATTAACGGGTTGCTCGCAATGCCATCTTTCAATATGATATAGACTTCGAATGAAGTTTGAAGTAAAATTAAAATAGGATTGTGAAAGGGGTTGATCAAAATTCGATCGTTCACTTAGTTAATTCGACAAAGTTATCTTTAAGTGACTTTTCCGAATAGGTCATTTTTTAATTTTAGTAGATAGCTTATTTTTTCCCTTATAACATGTTTTCCCTGGAAAATAACAGGGAATAAATTGGTATTCAAAAAATCCCTTATCAGATCCAGCCCCGTTTCAGACCCCGTATCCGATTCCGTATCAGAACTATTCCCGGGGTTTTATCTTGATTTTTACAATTTTCGTTCTGTTTTCTCGCCCTTTGTCAATATATATAATGTTTTCCTTAACCATTAACATATTGTATTTCCCCTTGTAATACAATTCATATTCCAATCCCTCCCATTAAATACCCTCTATATATACTAGATATCCAATACGTGTTATGTGCTCTCACGCTCTAACCTACTCAATGTTTATTGACGCCAAGCCGAAGTTTGGATTCCCACTTCGATTCAAAACAAAGTTTCACTTAAATTTTACTATGATGTATGGAGCCCTTGAACACGTGATAAATAATCAGGACGGTCAAATATCAGAGAAGAAGGGTCATATTTATAACTTTTTTATTTACGTTTTTCTTTCCAATCGATCATGAATATTGAATTCTTCATGTGTATGTTCATTTACGATAAACATCATTCTGGTGATCGCCTTTTGGTAGATTGATATTTATTTTTCTTCTGGTGCTACCACTGTTTAACTCAACTCGACGTCGACGTCAATTTTCCAGCTGCCAAATACAGAGTTTTAACCCTATTCAACATCCACTTCTACAAGTCAATTACGATAACTTGTTCTCTTCCCCACGTCTATAGGAATTCTATCATGAGACGCCTGCTTTCTGTATCGATCCCGCTTCTCAAGTGTCGCTTTAAAGCCATATTTCCATTTAGTCGCCCTAACCGGAAACGAATTCATTTCCCGTAATTTTCAACTTCGTTTTAGAATGTACTCCATCCATAACCGCAGGTAAGGCATCCGCCATCATATACCTGGCTGTTTGCTTCCCGCAATTGCTAATATTAATTCGTCATTTTTGTCATTCATAAATATAGATATCTATAAATAAAAACGCATTATTACTATCTGAATTATTTTAATACGATTTTTATAAGACAGCGACACAATCTCGTCATTTCTTACCTGATACTCAGTTTTTGGGAATTTTCTTTAACTCTGTATAGAGTGATAATCTAGCAGAGTATCTATATGCTGTGTTCTTCCATCCCAATGAAAAATATATAGAGCTTTCGGAAACAACTGAATTTAAATGAATATATACATACAACATTTAGACATTTAATTTTATTCGTATCATATTAAAAACTTATATGTTATATATATATTTCTTTATTGCGACCAATTCTGATCATATACATATAGTTTAACATAAAAGGTTTTAAAAGGTTAATATGAAGAAAAACATACAAAAATATAACAAAATATAGTTGTTTAGTGCAGGACGTTTAGAGTATTGAGAAATCTAGTTCTCAGTTGGTACATATGATACACCGTCCTGGCTATTATAAAACAATCATCATATTCATTTGGGGCAAAAATATTTTAATTTATGTTGGTTTATAACGATAATCATGGCTATGGTTTCTACCGTGAAAGATGGACTAGCGATCACCAAACTATTATACAGATTGTTATAAAGTAGTTTGTGACACAGGTAAACACAAAATTAAGTCTATCGATAAAATGTTTGAGATAAACGCCCTCACAAAAATAAAAGACTAAGGATTAAAACTATTATGTTATACTCAATTTCATGACTCATTAACTTAAGTTTTACCTTAGCAAAATAGAATATTCATAGCTCTAAATTGGACTCAATTGAAAAATAGAAAACCATGTATTTATCTTTATTCCGATATAATAGTATCATGGCGAACTATAAGACAGAATAAAGTTAATTGCGTATCATTCCATTGCGAGTGCCGTGGCTAATAGTCAACCAAATCGATAGATCAAACCTCAATTACAATTGGTCCTTTAGATAAATGAATAGATTCATTTGCATAAAACCTCGTCTATTCTAGAATATGCCGGCAATTTATTCCCCGTGCAAGACCCTAACCATTGCCGATCTCCTCTTCTCGGAGCTGATGACGGAGCATGCCGGACTAAATTCACAATAGGAATAATTCGATTTTTGAAGTATATTTCATTCATAAATGGCGATATTATATTTTTTAGAATCAAATATGAATGGACTTTGATTACTTTTAATAACAGGTAAGCTGAATTCAACTTAGCTTTGTAATTTTGTTTTTTTTTGAAAAAACGTATCAATTATCTAATAATGTGATTTTGTAGTATTGTGAAAGAACATTCAATGTTAAAATGATACAGCGAAAAGAGAGGGCATTTGTTTTCATGTACACATAGGCATAAACATGTTTAATCTAATATCTACGTTGTTGTTGAATGTAACGATCCAAGAAATCAAAAATCAACTAACAATAACACTGTATTGTATTGGATATTGGAAAAAAAACACATTCACCTCGGCCATTTTCCTTGAAAACACCAACCTGTCATTTTGCAATTGTTAAATATTGATCAACACGTCCGTTTTCTAGACTTTAAGTACATTTGCCTTTGATTTGATTTGAAATTTACGCAGTTGCTGCGTCCGGCTTTTCAAATAAGATCAAAAGGTAGGTTTAACTTCCTCACCTTTGAAATATTTCTTATAATTGATAAATGTAAGCAATTTTTGTGAAGTTGATATAATTTATTTGGATATAAATGTACCATGGGTGTTTTAATTTCTTGGAGTTGGTGCAATAGTAGTCAGTTCTACCCACGTACTGTACATTTTAACTCTCCAATGTGTCTGTAACATAAAGGCGATGTAAAAGTAAAGAGAAAGGCTGGACGCATGAAGCTCCCAACAATCCTCGTTCCAAGGGTATTTCACTTCTTTCCTGGATTGAGCAATAAATGAAAACTTTTGAATGAAGGATGCTCCGAACATGTTTCTCTTGCCGAAATCAATGTGATTTAGTCTGGGGGGAGGGACACAGGGATTATATATTACGGACGAAACATCTAAAAATGAAAGAAAAATCCCGAACATCATAAATATTTGCCAAAATCATAAATATTTACGAGGTGGTATTATACGTATAATTTGATAGTGCACTGAAATTCAAGATTACATTGCACGTATTTTATGATCGATTGACGGAAATTTGCACTTGGAAATCATTGGAGATTGTGTAGTGAACGTAGTAATGGAACAAAATTGAATTAACAATTTGCTTACATTCTTCACACTTAAGAACAATGGAATAGCGTGTAAATTGCAATTATCACGGAGTCTTCTAGCTTTGGAATTTGCCGGAGTTATTCGGCTCGCAACAATTCCATGGAAGCGTCAGTCAGGCAATTTGAATAATATCTCCGACTGACTTATCTAAGCCAATTTCCCATTTACTTTTATTCGCAATTAATTATTTGGTGATACGTAGAAAGCTTTGGAAATAATACCTATATAGAGCAAATGCCAGAACTAGATTGTATAAGTATTTCACATTCTTTTTCGATTGCATATAATACAGAAATATCTCCCTCAAAGGGTCTGGTTCACGCTAAATTATTTCTCAGTATTTTACATAATCGGCGCTGTAAACGTTATTTTTGAAGAGCGATCTAACAATTAACTGAAAAAAAATATTTATGGAAAATCTTGGCGGTTTGGCTTGCCTGTCCCATGTCTGTCTATGCCCATGGAGAGATACAAATCGGGAATGTCAATGGAAATACTCGTTGGAAGCAAGTCCTTTTAAGTTTCACATTCATTACAAACAGCAGATTATCTACAGCAATATTAATATGATGATTTCAACGTATAATTTAAGGATTTAAGCATTGTGAACTGAACCATTTCATTGAAGGTGTTGTTTCCAAATCTCTTTATAACCGCGCAGCGGGAATGCAAAGTTTAGGACACGATGCCCGAATGAAATGAAGCAGCCACGATGCATTAAGTCTTGAGCTCAAATTCTTTTCACACATTGTAAAATAATTTCACCTAAAATATCCAAAATCACTAAAAGAAAATATTTCCGATGAAACCTTTTTGCCAAAGGTCAAATTTCAATGGATCAATTTCAATCTACAGAGTCAAGCTGTCACCATGACAACTGTTTAACAGGTGACCTTGAATGCAACGATTGCACTGCAATTATATGGAATACTGTGCTCGCATTGGCTGGAATCGGACTCATCTTGCTTAGCTATTTGTGGATGTAAAATTAATCCGATGAATCCAATGATATCCAGAATAAACTGTTCGGAACTTTCTTTAATTATACTAGCTGGTGACGTCATATAAAATCGCAAATCAGTGGAAGCTGAGAAAAGAGAGTGTAAACTATTTGCAAAAAGCATGGAAATGTTTCACTCCAACATATTTATATGACATGAAATGAATTTTGAGAATTTCGCGCATTGCCCAATATTCTATGTATTATATTAACAACGGTCTGTGTAGGAGATCAGCGAGTAGCCCGTGGGTGTTGCTGTTTGTTCCGACGTACAATGGTACATTATGCGATGGTAAATGTATCAAATATCTGATTTTAATTACATAAATAACGCCCATACTAATTCCATAAGTGATCTAACGATTATTTATCTGAGACTATCAATTAAGGATTGAAAAATCGATCGAATTCTGTCAATGCACTTAAGTCATAAAAATAAAAAAACATGCTCGTTTTTGACGTTCTACATTTCTAAGTTTCCGTTGATCACTAAATTATCATAAATTATTAAAAAGAAACACAATGTGGAATGGTGTAAAATATAATTACATATAGTTGGTCATAAATCATTGTTTCGTAGTTATGTCACGGAAGTACAATACATATAAAATAAAGTAGTCGCAGCCAAGTATAAGTCAAGCGTTTATAAGTTACGTAAAACAGGTATACTGCTGGCAACTACTGTTATGATCGTGTTCGTTTAATTTGGAACTGATTGATCTCGCTGAGCAATACACCTATGAATTTTATAGCCTCATAATCCCAATCGTGATATCACCAATAATGCCTCTGTCAAATAAAGCTGCATCGATCTACGACTTTAGAACCCGACAATAATTAAGTCATTAATGGGACTGATTTGCACAAACCATTCAACTCTTTTCACATATTCGATATGTCTATTTTGCGTTCTAGAAATAACTCTGAAATGTCTCTCCGTGCATTCCGAACGAATGTGTGAATAGAAATACATGTTATAATAACTAATAAGTCATTACGGATTCACCTGTAACTTGATGACGTCATCTCTTTTGTTAGTTTAATTGCCTATTGATAGGAACACGAGGAAGACGTGTAAAATAGTGATAATGATGAAGTTCTTTTGCGCAATACTATTGCTAATCCGCGGGCTAGGGCGGTCAACGTTATACCTGGTCACAAATTCAGTAACATGACATCATGAAACTTAACGTCAACGTTATCCGTTGATCAAGCGATGAAGCTAGAACTGACGTCAATAGCATACTGGGATAAAGCTATATCATATATCCTTATTGCCCATAGTTAAAGTCCATAGTTTAAGTCGAGTCATTTAGTCAAGTCATATATCTAAAGGTGACATCGTAATCAAATTGCGATCAAGTCACGAAGCTGTAAGCTGACAGTCAAACCATTTTGATATTAGCGCTCCATTCCACAGCTATTCGTCAAGAAATCTACATACTCGTATACAGCATTACCTTCAATACCCAAATAATAAAATACAAACGCTGAAATTATAATTATGACCAGTACAGGTTAATGATACATATACAAAGGCCGTTCCAGAAGTTCTGATAAAAATGCTATATCTTTTTCTTAAGTTAAGGAAATCACTTGAAATTTTTACACAATTTACGTAATTTATATACCTATACAACAGGGAATTTTCAGAATGATTAATTGATAGAACTTTCCGAAATCACACTTTTCCTACCCCGTGGTAGGGGCAGGATTTGAGTTCATATTGACGTCATAACTCCAGACGACCAGGTCCAGACGTCGTCGTGCAGGCGTCTCCGTATCTCTGAATGGGATTAAGATATTTAAAAATCTATTTAAGTTGATTTCAGTGTTTTAATCAACTAAAATTAAAAGTAATTAAATATTGTACAAAATTCATATTTCTTGGTCCTATTAAATACCTATTAGACTATTCAATCGAATATCTTTAGGTAAACATGTAACATCTAAACATTATGACTTTAGGATTTATTTATTTGTGCTGATGCCTAACACGTAAATCCAACAATACATAAAATATTACAGCTTTACAATTACAGAAGAAATATTAATAACATCATGATATCTATTGACCATTTAATGGTGTATTATGTATATGATATGAGAACTGATTAGGTAACACTGTCGCACTATACATGCGCACTATATTATCTAAAGCATCTATCACAGCGAATTTTGCTCATTTGCTTGCTGAGAAAATGGTTTACTGGTCCCAAAGGAAAGACAGAATGCATTATCTAAATTGTACTTGACTATATCTCTACATCAAACGAGTTATCACGATAATAAGTGTGGTATTGTGATTGTATTCAAGTAAGTGGTGGACACAATTACAGTCCTTCTTCAAAAGATTTCATATTTTAGCTTAAATTAATAAACCCTTTTGCAGCAAGAACGACAATAACAGTAACATGTGTAAGGTGACACACAATATGCAGCTCATTCAAATGTCAACATCTATGTCACCAAAAACAATGAAGTTTTTCACAAAACACGTAACTGGAAATGAAGATTCGCGTTGAACCTGTCTCTAAAGGTATCCCTATTGTCAAACACAAGAGAAATAATTTAAAGTAATTAAGTAGAGGGGACGTTATGCAAATACTCCTGCCAGATTGCAGTTACGCTATAAAAGTATTCGTCCGCGATCCTTGCCAAAGGACGATCACCACGTTCTTGAACCTATTGATAATGGCAGACGCAGGAGCAATGTAAAACCAAAACAACTAATTAATATGGCGTAGAATGGATTACAAACTGACAAATACGTGCATATATTTCATTGTCATATTAAGAGCATGTGTTTATGGAGGTAACCCGAGACATATTCCCTCAAGGGATCATAAGTACATATAATAAGAATAACTAAGTAGATTGCAGAATATATTGTTCGAGAATCAATGAATATTTTTGTAACAGTAAGGTAAATAATTTCTATTGATTGTGCAATTAGGACTTAATTTATGATCAAGATTCGTGCTAATGTCTAAGTGCCAAGTTATGCTCTATGTACAGATACAATAAACACTTCTTGACATGGTTTATGTTTTGCTTCCTTTTCCCTCCTGTTGTAGACAATAGACCCCAAGTTTAGATCACTAGTATCCATTTGAGACTACACTTTAGGTTTAACAAGATTCCCTTGCTTAGTGTAATCTTAGAATTTTTATTTCTAATTGATTGAGATATGTTGGTTGAGATACTTTTTGGTGTAATAATATATTCTTACACGTTTTCGTGTTTTTATCCATCCTTCAATTAAGTTTGTTCATATCTTAACACCATAGTGTGTGTTCAGGTCTTGTTATTGTTGTCTTTTATTATTGTTGTTGTTGGTTGTTGCTGTTATTGTTCCTTAAATAAAAAAAACTATCTGACTACCTTTATTTTAGGGTTATTCAATTATGTTACTTGTCACATTTGCAATATGGACCCTGATAGAATATATACGATTGAATAAGATATCTGAAATATACAAGGCATAAAAGGCTGTATATTGCAACGGAGCGCTTTTTAACAACGTAGAAGTGGATTCGTCAAGAGGAGGCAACACGAATCATAAACATTCATTTGGAGAACACATATTCATTGGATATGAATGCATATTGGTAAATATGTTGTAAGAGAAAATGATTTTCAGATTGTGGAATTTTATATTTTTTAGATTTCCCTGTATATAAAGCGATTGGTAGATCCACATTCCTGTGATGAGGTTATTCGATAGAACGATCGTCCAGTTGGGCGATATCTACCAAGAGAAGAAACTCCAACTGGCGGAGAAAAGATACGAGTTGTCACAGTTAACATGGGGGGATTGGGTCTCATCCGTGAGAACCTCGAGGAAGCTGATTTTAGTGATAGTATTTATAGCACTTTTCCTAGACAATATGTTACTCACTACTGTAGGTAAGAACATATTATTAATCACCGTACATGTATTTATAAATAAACCTTTCGAATATGCTCTGTCACCCTTTGCTATGATAAAGAAGCTAAACTGTCAGTATTGGCTATAATACAACAATGTAGCATTAAGGATATAGGCTGAAATCTCTCCGTGCTGTTACTGTACATTTGGGTACATTTTTAAGACAACATGTAAATGTATAAAAACATATGAGGCGATGGAATGGAAACATTTTAAAAGTAAAATAAAAATCAATAGTAAAATTCAATACGTCTAACATTCGACCCTTTACCTGGGAAAGCTACTCTACTAAAAAAAATGATCAATTTGAAGCAGGTTGAAAAAACCTTTTGACCTTGAGAAGGTCATTGAAGGCCAAATATTGTTTTGGCCTTGAGAATGTCATTGAAAGTCAAATCTATAGTCAGATTTGAAATTTTGATAAAATATGATCAATGTCAAGCAAGTTGGAAAAATACCTTTTTTACATTTTTTACCTTTTTTGACCTTGAAAGGGTCACTGAAGGTCAATCTTAAATATAAAGTCAGATTTGAACTTCTGAAAACTTGTAGATGGTTTTGAAAAAACTGAAGTCAACCGAAGCAGTATTTGTTAAACAGGCAATATACCTATCTTTGAAGAAAAATGGATGAAATATTATTTGAGACATTTTACACACACGTTCCATCAAATATGATAAAAAACACTTTAATTTCGGTTAATTCTGAAGTGAAAAAAAAATTACTCGCATTAAAAACAGCGTTTGAAGTCCAGGGATTGAAAAAAGTGTATAACCACTTTTCACAAAGTGTATGTTTTAAATAAATAACCCTTTGATTAAAAGATGGCGTATGGTTGAAAATTCTATCTTAATTGAATGAATGATGTGTTTTAAAAAACTTTTTTCATCTTTCGTTGGCATTGCTAAAAATTTGACATATATATAAAACTCTGATGTGGTCTCTTAAGCTTTGAGCTGTTTTTGGTGTCAAATGAAAGATCAGGTACTTATCAATCAATTGGAAATACTTTGAAGACTTCATTTTGCCAAAGGATACGCATTTTGTTTCTTTAAATTATTGGAAGTTATAATTATTGGAATTTATAACAGACGCCAACCACTAACCGCCACCCGCCGATCGCCGTTACAAAAACGGAGACCATAACAATATGTCACCACTTTTTAGTAGTGACATCATGAAGATAATTCCATCGAATATAACCCCATTGGTGTAAAACACGTTTTCTGATGTGTATTTTTTATTTCTGATCCAGGTTAGACTCCAGGTAAGATATAGGCATGTCATTTTGGAAAACTTGCATAATTGATTGCTGCAATGATATTAATCCCTTTGCCAAATTTTAAACATGGGCGTTTCTTTTTGGTTGAATGCAAGAATATCTGACATCAAAAGTCAGAATTTTAACATACATTGTACATTGATTTTGATGTTTTTCAGTGCCTATTATCCCAAATTTCCTATATCAATTGAATCATCCGCTTACAATGAAGAATATTACATTCACAGCGAACAATATCTCCCAGGCAAACTTTAGCATTTGTCAAAGGTTGCCGATTACTGATCAGCAGAATGGATCAGCTATCTTAGGCTACTATACTTACATCAGAGACCGAAATGAAATCTGTGTTAACCAAACAGCTATGGCAGAGTTAGCAAATGTCCCTGATGGACCAATAGAGACAGTAACTGTATTGTCTGAGAGCCAACGGCACGAGGATCTTGTCAATGAAAATGTAGAAGTTGGCTTGATGTTTGCTTCTAAATCTATAGTGCAGTTATTAGCCAACCCATTTATAGGACCGCTTACTAATAGGTAAAGTATGCCATATAACGTTTATAGGACATTAATATAGGTACAGCATTCCAAGGCCTCTCCCTAATGGGTTCACTGTGTTGCAATTAACGTTCATAGGACTGCTACTAATGCCATAACGTTCGGGTTGCTAATTAATAGGTACTTAATGCCATATAACGTTCATAGGCCTGCTGATTAATAGGTACCCAATGCCATATAACGTTCGAGCTGCTAATTAATAGGTACATAATGCCATATAACGTTCATAGGGCTGCTGATTAATAGGTACATGTACTTAATGCCATATAACGTTCAAGCTGCGAATTAATATGTACATAATGCCATATAACATTCGAGCTGCTAATTAATAGGTACATAATGCCATATAACGTCCATAGGGCAGACCCGTAGCCATGATTTGCCAAGGGGGGGGGGGTCACTATTTAAAAAATTCCAGGGGGGTTCACATGGACAAGTTTGGCCAAAAATGCCCAAAATTATTTGAAAAGTGCTCAAAATGTGAAAAACTGTATGGTTTTGACCCTGGCTACGGGTCTGTAGGGCTACTAATTAATACATGCAGTTTGCCATACGTTCACTGGCCTACTGACTGAATATGCAAGAGTACATGTAATTATCATAATATATTCATATTAATATTGGCACTTTAGATTTAGTATTATTTTTATTCGACTAGCTGTAAATCAATGCATTCAAGAGTAAAAGATTCATGTTTGATATTAAATTGTGATCGAGATTCATCAGTATGGATTATCTTTATGTATTGTGTGCTTTATTTTCTTGCAGGATAGGGTACACGATCCCGCTGTTTACGGGGTTTGTTATAATGTTTATATCAACAATAAGTAAGTTTCCATTTCCTTATTCGTGATTTTTGTATTCATAATCCAACATTCCAATAGATTACACGTCACACATTCAAAGGTAACTACATTCTTATTAGAAGGAGTAACTTAAGTCCGATAGTTCTAACTTTGTTTCAGAATTATAGAATATTAATCATTCGGCACTATATCCTTATTTGTTCTAGTTTTTGCGTTTGGTGCTAACTACACTGTATTGGTGATAGCAAGAGCATTGCAAGGTATCGGGTCATCATGCTCCAGTGTGTCAGGTACAATATCTTTAGGGACAGGGATTCAATTTTCTTATGTAGTACTATCCTGGGCTAACATCCAGAAGAGTTATAATTTGAAAACATAATATGCTGTGTCGGGGTCTGTGTCATACCTTCTACTGCATGTAGTCGATAGACTGAGGTTATAATTGGATCAAACAAGATGTTAGTAGATCACTTCCAAGACGAACATGAAGTCATGTACGTAGACGACATGTTAATATATTTGGAGCACATATTTCAGGCATGGGTATGCTAGCTGATCGATACCCAGATGACGCAGAGAGGGGTAACGCAATGGGAGTAGCATTAGGAGGATTGGCGTTAGGCGTCCTGGGTAATTTTCCCTAAAATTAACTTATTGTGAGCGCTTAAAAACGTAAAAATACATTTAACCAGGGGGTTTAGATGACACTTGAGGGAACAATATCAACTTAAAAGAGTCAGCACTTGTTACTCTATCACGGTTAACGAATGTCATGAATGTTTGTATTTACCTTTCAGTGGGGCCACCTTTTGGAGGAATAATGTACCAATATGTTGGGAAAGAAGCTCCATTTCTCATATTAGCTGGACTAGCTCTTCTCGATGGAGGTACGTAGTTTGAGTGTTTTTACAGGTTTACAAGGTTTTAAAAGATTATCGAAATACGCATGTTGTATTCTATTCTATCAGTAAAAATCACGAAGAGGTGTGTTTGTTTATTAAATACACCCCCGATTGAATATCCAAGAACGCCACTTCTCGATGGACGACACTGCTGGGTCGAGTCCTGGTTTAAACATTATGCATATTTACAATTTCAACTATTTCAGCCCTACAATTATTTGCACTAAAGCCAAGCGTTAAGCCTGAACCGGAAGAGGGAGCCTCTCTATGGACTTTAATCAAAGACCCGTATATTCTCCTCGCTGCAGGTATGCTCTGAACGAAATATCACCATTTTGAATCCATATTTACATTATTATTCATGAAGAAATTAGACACGATTGACATTTCAGAAAAATTCGGAAGAGAATAAACCCTTTCAGTATTGTTAAGGTCAACCTAAAGATAATGTGTAAAAATATATTTGAAAAATAAGAAAAGATAATGTGAAAAATTATAATTTAACCAAGATATTTTCAAGAAATTGTAACGCTTGTAGGCTACATTGTACACTTTATTGCTATTTTATGTGATGATTTAGGGTGTATAACATTTGCTAATATGGGCATGGGGATGTTAGAAACATCACTTCCAATTTGGATGTTAGACACTATGCAAGCCGAAAAATGGCAACAAGGTGAAAATGCTGACTCTAACAACAATGGGGGATTTGAAGTCACTTGGCATACATTTGATAACTCTTAAATTAAATAATCGAGTACATTTACTAAAGCTAAGTACCACAAACGTAAGCCAATTGCCCTTTAAATTCTCTTTCTGTTAGAGTGAGTAATGATAAACTATTAATAGTATAAGATGTACGAATGTAAGAATGTGTGTTGGATTGCGTAGCGTACTAGTGTGATGAGTGTGTGAATCCCAAGTCACATTAGGTTTAACATTTCCTTGCTAACCGTATAATGCTGCGCTCACTTCGGATTCTCAAAGCTGCAAGCAGAATTTTCCACATTAATTTGGGCGAAATAAGATGCAAAATATTGGCAGCCATTATTCAAATTCGATTTTCTGTTGCCTGGCATGACATAATTTATAAATAATATTTCCAAAAGGTTTATCTTGAGTTGTATTTGGTACCAAGTAACTAGTCTTAGGCCCGTAGCCAGGGAGAGGGGGGGGGGGGGTTCGAGTGGAGGGAGGTTCGAGCAAATCCCCCTGGTCAAAAGTTCTTTCAAAATCATGCAGTTTTTCAACACTCTGAGCCCTTTTTAAGGCCATTTTGGGCTAAAATTGTCAAAAATGAAATCCCCTGGAATTTTTTAAAAAGTTAACCACCCTTGAAAAATCCTTGCTATAGGGCTGAGTCTATATATAAAGTGTACGAGTATTGTAACGTTCAAACTTCATTGGCAGCACTGGTCTTTAGACTGAGTATGGATAATGGCTGCCAATGCTCCTTGGGAATATTGCAAGGCTGCAAAATAAACTCATGGAATAAATATTTGGAACCTTTGTGAAATGGTGAATGTGCAACGATTAGCAAAGAATATGTTAAACTAGATCAATTGCATTTTCTCCGAGGCGAATGGAACTACCTGCTTGATTATGTTCCTGTATGTTTGTCCCTAGGCGCCATAACCTTTGCTAACATGGGTATAGCGGTGCTTGAACCATCCCTGCCTTTATGGATGTTTGATACAATGCATGCGCAAAAATGGCAGCAAGGTACCATCACTAAGGAGGTCACTATATGTGTTGGTTTTGTCAGACATGTTAATCGTTGTTAGTGTAGCTATATGGGCTGTATTTGTGGTGAGATGTGCATGAGCTAAGTGATGTATACGTAGATGCACCGTGGTGGTTGGACTCCAATAACACTTTTCTAGAAATCTGGAAATCACCTCGTCATATCAGAACATTTTAGTGCACATTTACCTGCCCTTTGATACACTATCATGTATAATATCATACGTACACTGAAATAGTCTTTGGTTTTGGAATGATTACATGATACCATAACTCACATTATAAACTCCACTGTAATATACTTAATGTACACTACACTTTACAATACAGTACACTATATGCACTGCACTATATTAAACACTAAACTATGCACTTGAACTGTTGTCTATGGTTAATGCTAGCAGTAATGTTATGTCTGTTTTGTGATGTGTTATTATGTATACACAAATTGTTTTACTGAGGTATAAAATTTGTAGTTGTACATATGTATTGTGAAATGTATTTTATAAGATTTAATGTAAATAGAATATTAAACCAATTGATATTAGACGATTTATTTAAATAAAACGAAAAATATGTAAAATATGCATTACTTCCCGTTCAAAAGTATATTTTCTACTACAGATATTTATTCATTATTATTCATTTAGGTGCCGCTTTCCTCCCGGCTAGCATATCATATCTTTTAGGGACAAATGTATTTGGACCCCTTGGAAATAGGATAGGGAGGTAAGTCCATAATATACTCGCATAGGAGTGTGAGGTTCCATATCATTTCTATATACTTTTACCATTGGGAACTACGTGTAGGTTGATAGAAATAAGACAGAAGTGGTATGACTATTTGTATCCCCTCTTTAAAGAGTAAAACTAGACAACCCCATGTACTAGCATTGTATTTCACATAGATTAACGGACAGTAGAAACACTTAGAGAGAGGCAGGCCAATCAATCCGTGTTTATACTCTAGCAGAGGAGAAGATTTCTCAAATCTGAGGGATGCTGTCACCTTCAATTACCAATTTACAAACTGGAATCATTTGCGTTTGAAATATCAGGGTCACTGGTCCGAGAATACTTGAATTGCGTAACTGAATTAGTAAGCGAAGTTTAGACTTTAGAATTACATGTAACGATGTTCAACTGAAATAAGCAGAGAAACGTGCCACGATTTCCACGATTTCAAATTTTACTTTGAGCATGCGCGGCTCTGAGCAAGCACGTGCTCGTGATTGTTCACGTAACAATAGCCTGTAAATTGATTGCCTTGGATATTACTGAGTATGG